ACAATGACGGATTTTGATGTAGTTGAATGGAAACTTTGTGTATTTTCTGACCAGGGGCAAGCAGCCTGTCTGTTTTACTTTTTACAGAAAAAGGAAACTCTAATGTACCACTAATTATTAGTTAATTAATTATTAGTGATTTTAAAGACTGTGATAGAAGTATTGTGCTTAATAATCATTATAAGACAGGAAAAACACATGGTTTTTCATCAGTGGCATATATTTTCTAAAGTATATGATATTCAAAGTATTTCTTTCTAAATTTCCCCTGAATTAAACAAGATTGACAAAAGAAGTAATTTAAAAGACATTAAAAATTAAAATTTGTATAGACAACCCTGAGGAGCTATATCTGCCTGGATATAAATTTAAAATGATAGGAAGTGATCTGGTGGATGAGATTAAACATTTTTAATCTATGAAACTATTCCACTGTCATATTGACCACAAGCAAGTTTGAAAGGAATCTGGCCTTTAGTCTGTACTAGCTGCAATCTAGAATATATTAGTTTACTGGAGATTATATATAATTGTTTTGACAAATAGTCTTTAAGCATTCTCCATTAATTTAACAGATACTGTAATGATTATCTGAACTACATTAAATTCTCACAAGGATGTTATATCCCATGAGGTGCTATGTATCAATATAGCTTAAAGTCTGTGTGGATGAATGTGGAGTTGCACAAATACAAGTAATCTAAAAGGTGGTGTATACAGAGGTGGGATTCAACTGGTGTTACTACAAGTTCGGTGACTACATTTTGCTGCACGTGTGTGTAAAAAAAAGCTGTGCTGGCTGGACAGCTGAAAAATGCTGCGCACAGGTGTGCAGCATTTGAAAAGACTCTTTTTTCCTGCTTTTTCAACCTTAGCTGTGCTGCGCAAAACAGTTGAGATTGACAAAGCAGGAAATAAAGGACAGGTAAGAGCCTGGGCGGGTGGGCAGACCAAACAGCAGCAAATACAGAACCAGTTCAGTGTCTGCTGCTCTTCAGAGCTACCAGTTCTTTAGAACCGGGCAGAACTGGAAGCATCCCACCCCTGGCTGTATCGGTTTTCAACATAGTTTGTTATGTATTTTTATTTTCTAAGATCAAATTGGTTCAAGGAATGAGCTAATTCAGTAGCATCCAGCCTAATTTACTAAACTGTAGCTACCTTATTAGGATGTTGTTTTTATTTGTCTAATCTTTATTGCTTGCTCATGATTATACTATAATTAGCCACGAGTTTCCATAAAAATCTAATCTGTATTATTAGTTTCAAAGGATAGTCATAATAGCATGAGTTGATAGTAGCAGTGAGGTGTATCTTGGTTACCCACCCCACCCCCCGCTATAGTATTATTCAATTGAATGACCTCTAAATGTTTAGTTCATCGATTCAGAATTGCAATGGTAGGACTATCTAATCAATAACATTGTTTATTTCAGGTTCACATAAAGGAAGTCTATTAGATACAGGCCATTTAAAGTTTTTACAGTATTTTAAATTAATGGTCGCTTATGAGTGCTACTGCATAGCTTCACTGGCAATGATGAATACCTAGAAAAAACAAATACATGAGGATGAACAGATTGTTAAGCAGCAGTGGGAATTTGGACATTTGCTTGTAATTCAGGTATCAGAATTCGGTTTATATATTCTGCACACTGTATGCAAATGATTTTGTATTATTTTATTGTTATTTCTCTTAATATTGGAAATAGGTTCTCTGAGATATTAATAGTATATTGTCATGCTAAGATCCTAGTGTTCATGACAATGCAAACCAAGGAAAGACAGAAATGTTCACAAAGATTGTACAAGCTCTTTCTTAGCTTGGTTGTGACAATACTCCTATTTGTGCTGGGGTTTTTTGGTATTACTGACACAGATGGACCTGTCAGCCCCCCTTCATGTCTAAATATTCACTTTTATTTTGACACATGAGCAAGAGACAATAACTAAATGGTTATCTTCCCTCAGCCACCAGCTGTTCTCACTGGCAGCACAGGCAGTAGGAAGATTTGCATGAACTCCAGACCTGATTTTAATAGTGATATCTGGTGATTTTTCATTGAAAAATAATTACTCAGGTTTCATGGCTATTGCCTATCACTTTTTATGAATTTTCTTTCATGTGTCAGAAATTACAATAGTGTAATTTTCTTCTGATATTTTCAATTTAAAAAACAGATGGGTAAGAAATAAAATATGTAAGAATGAAAAAAAAAAGATTAAATACATATGATATTACCTGCTAGTATGTCCAGATCCTGAATTTTGTAGACAAGAGATACTATTGACTCCCAATGGTTCTGCTGAATTCTTGATTTTAATAAAACTTCAAACTCTGTTTATCTATACAATTCAATGTTTACTTTCTCTACTAAGGGGATGGGGAAAATAATCAATCAACCTGTATGAATAAGGAACTCAGGTGATTATCTGTGATTTTATTTGTATTAGTTTGTAGGCTACATGGTCAGACAGATACTAGCCATTCAACTAGATACCATGGTAGCAGACAAGGATCACAAGACAACAGTGATAATAGATGTAGTGGTGCCAAGGAACAGCAAATCAGGAAGGAGTATGAGAAGCTACAGAAGTACCAGGGACTGAAGGAAGAACTAGAGTGGATATGGAAAAGTAAAAGCCAAAGTGATCCCAGGGGTGGTAGGAGCAATAGGGGCTATGACTGCTGAGCTGGGAGAATGACTCAAAAAGATCCCAGAAACAACATCAAAGCTGTTTAGAAGACTGGACAGGAACTCTTAGAAAACTCATGCATCTTGTAGTGGACCCAAGATTGAAAAAGACACATACCACCCAGAGGGTGGAAGGGTTTATATATACTTGTTAATTGCCTTTTTCTTGTGCATCTTAATTAAATTTAAGATGTCCATTTGTTGGCTTGAAAGAAATTAATTTTGAAGAAGTCAATAGGCTGTCAGGCTTCAATGAACAATTCGGATTTTAAAGATGACAAACTGGTAAGGAAGCTTCTTCTTCAATAAAGATCCTATATAAATTGCATTAGTTACTGTTTAAGCTGCTCAGAAGCAGAAATTCAGAGAGTTGACATTGAAAAGTGACAGTTGGATTCAAGTATGATATGAAGTGTAGCTTCCTACTTCCCCAATTAAAATGGAGGGAGAGACCATCAGTAGCAAAGCTATTTGCGGACTATAGTATTTCAATATTGTACTTTACTTACCAAAGTCCCATCAACTCTTCTATGTCAAAAGAAAATATGCTTTTTCTTTGAGATGCTAATTTTCTATGTATAATGATTAACTTGACAGGAAGACTAAATGACAATCTCCAAAGAAAAGGTATATTACTTATTTGCTATGATAGAGAGAATCTTTTCTTACCATAGAAAAGGATATAATATAAGAAAATAAATTTAATGCTATAAAATTATGATGTACAAAGTTGCATCATATTGAAAGTATGTCATTTCTCACAATCACAGTTACTATAGCTGTCAATGTCTATTATTGCAATCATATTCTTATATATTGAATTATAATCCCACTAAATTGTATAGCAAGGCATAAAAACTATTTTGGGGGGATTTCATATGTTGTGAGAAAATCTAAGATAAGAAAAAATAACTTTCATCTTATATCAAAGAAGTAACATTGCATATGTATACTGTTTAATATACTTAAATATTTGTGTGTGTGTGTGTGTGTGTGTGTGTGTGTGTGTGTGAGTGAGTGAGTGAATGAAATGGCAGGTAACATCCAAAGTAAAAAAAAGATCTATGGACTACAATGTGAAGTCAAGAATGTGCTAGGAAAAATGTGTTCAGTATTTATGTAGCAAAGTGTTCAACACAAGCAGCAATAAAATGTTGATGTAGGACTGAGCAAAATGTAAGTTCACATTATTGAGTTATGGAAACTCAATAGTAGCTTTAGGTTTGTTACTGTCTTTCAGCCCAAATAATCTCATTGTATAGTTATCTTTTGAGGAAAAGGAGGAAAGAGTGCTAAACATGTCACTTTGAGCTTCTGGAGGCAAGACAGGAAATAATAACATACTTTAAAATATATGTCACAGTGATGATTTCTACCTCAAATATAAAGACTAGTTTACAAGAAGCTCCTTCTGGTCATACCTGGATTTTGATACTGCATTAAGCCACAGTATTGTTTTGTTGGTTTTGGTTTACCTATTATGCTTTGTGAAACTGGTTTATACCTTAACTTTATCCAGATTTCTGTGGCATGGTTAAAACAAATGAAGGCCTACTAAAATAGATGAGTTAACCATTACATTCACAGGATGCAAATGTAGGCACACATTCAATCCCAGCATCTCCAAGTAAAATAATAATTTCACATGGGCAAATAGGTAGCTTTCTACAGTATATAACAATGATCGATATAAAAAGCACCACAATATTAGCTGACAGCATAAATATCCCTGTAAACCTAATGAGTTTGCTGCAACCAAGTTGTACTATACCAGTGTTGTTTGATTTTACCATGATGATACGACAATAGGCATCCAAAGGAAACAAACTGTTATAGAAGGGCTGCATATTAATTTATGTGTTATGCAGTTGTGTATTGATATGATCACTACAACTCACAATCTTTGTAGGAAACATTTTTAAAAAACAGGGCAATTGACTTAATTAAGAAAAGGCTTAATTAAATCTTTCTACTTTATTATAAACTTAATCCCACTTTAGGCACAAAGCCAAGTGAGTCACCTTGGGCTAGTCAGTTTTTCTTGGCCCTAGGAATGACGCAATAGCAAACCATTTGTGAAAAAAAATGCCAAGAAAACCAGAGGGTATTTATTACTAAGGTAGTCTCCAAGAATCAGATGGAACTGAATGGAAGAAAAAAAATGTAGAAAATACACAATATTTTTTTAACTCGCAATTAATCAGTCACATTATAAAAGCATAACACAGCATCTCTGACTATCCCTAGTAGCCTCTTTAGAAAGTTATGAGCTAGCTTTACACATAGACTTTCTCTTTCCCTTACCAGCAGCTAAAGTTTGTCCCATTCCTGGCTTACTGTCGACGCATCCAATTCGATTGCAGAGAGTAATGGTAAAAAAGTACATTCTGTATGGCTCCAGTCCAGTCATTACAAAGGATTGCTCATGGGCTTCAGCAACATACAAAGGCTGCAAAATAAAGAGACTCAAGATGTCTAGTCTGGGAGTGCTTCTCTTACTTTATATGAGTACGATAGCATATTTAACAATAAGTAATTGGTTGGCCAGGGTTTGCCAAGCACCATTAGCAGAACTAGCAATATTTTGAAAAAAAGTTCAACATGCTATAGAATTAAATTATAATATGTTCATCACGATACTTTATGAGGTAATAATCCAGTTCCTGAGTAGACAAATGAGGGAAAAAAATTATTGCCTCATAAAGCTGTAGAAGAGAGGAATTATTTGTGCAAACTGTACAGATTATGCAAGAGAGTGGTATCACTATTATGTGATGAAATCTAACCAACTTGCAGTGGAATCAGAGAAAGCTAGGAAATATTTTAAAATGAGGACATGCTGCCTTTTAAATAGGAAAAGTTATCATTATTATATATTACAACCAATAGGCACAGCACCAGAAATGTATTTTTCCTCCTTAAAATATCTTAAATGAAAAGCATTAAAATGGAAAAATGGAAAGGAAAGGAAATATTGAATAAAAAAGTTTATTCAATTAGACTGAAAAAACTTTTTTAACCACCTATTCAAAAAGGTGAGTTTGGATCATCAATATTGTTAAGTGCATATCATTTAGGCTGAAAGTGTAACAAATCATTGGGAATAATGTGCATATATTGGATCCAGTCTTCCCTTAGGTATTTTTTTTCCAGAAGATTCCTTAATAAAATTCTTGCACCTTTACCATTAACATATGAAGGCCCTTTGAGAATAATTCCATATTCTATGTCCATGGAGCTTCTTTGTATGAAAAGTCCTGGGAGAATCATTAATTAGAATAAGAATGAACATTTTAATTGCTCAAACCCAAAAAGAATACTTTACCAGCATTATTTCAGGGAAATGTTAGGTTGTTAAGCAATTTTATTTTTTGCTGTGAAATGAATGCTTTTCAAATTTCATAACAGCTATGAATTAAAAAATTGCATAATGCAGAAAATAATAATAATATTGAGAAGACAACTGCAAACAGCAAATGTCGCCTCTGCAAAGGAGCTGAAAAAACCGTGGGCAACCAAGGTACCTGCTGTAAGAAGATAGAATAGATTGGCTACAAACAACAGCATAACAAACTAGCAACAATGGTGCATTGGAAGATCTACAATAAATACCATTTGTCTGCAAGCAAGAACTGGTGGGACCATAAAATAGAGAAATTCATAGAAAATGAAGCTAAATTGCTCTGAGATTTCATAATTCAAACAGATAGGCACCTGCTAAATAACAGCCCAGACTCAGTAGCTATCAATAAGAAAGAAAGAAAAAATAGTGGACATAGTAACACTACAAACAGAAGATTAGAAGAGAAGGAACTGGAGAAAAATGCAAAGACCTGCAGATTTGAATACAACAACTGTGTCAAAAGGAAGCAAAGGTAATGCCAATGGTAATAGGCACCTTGGATGCAATCCCAAAACAACTGGAACAATACTTGAATGTCATCAGCATTGATAAAATCACCATCAGTCAATTACAAAAGGCAGCATTACTTGGAACAACTTACATCCTGTGACAATACATTTAACACCAATGAACACCAACCATTAGCCTACCCCAGGTCCTTGTGAAGAACTTAATAAGTTGATTAAAACTGCCAGACCCATTCTAAACATCTGGCTAATTATGCAAATAATAATAATAATAATAATAATAATAATAATAATAATAATAATAA